AGATTTTTTTTGGCTTTTTTACTTCATATTGGTTTATAATACCTTTTTTGCCCTCCTTGTTCCATTTAATCATTTTTTAATTTTTGGTTGTTCTACATCTACTTTTTTCAAGTTTAATTCTTCCAATATTTCCTCTGTGGTATAGGATTCATTGCCCCTTTCCCTCTCTATTTCATTAGCCCTAGACATATCCTCCGCATCTTCTAAATATCTTATTAAGGCTTCTTTAACAATAAAATCCCTTGGCCGCTTGCTAACTTCTTCTAAATAAGTAAGATGCTGTTCGAATTTCTCTGATATTTTAAGTTTAATATTTATTTCTACTTGTTTTTTTGTCATGTTATTAATTATATTTATATTTTTTATATTAATAGTTTTAAAAAATAGAACTATAAAAATAATAAACTTAATTCTTACGAATTAAAAACTACTAAAAATTGGTTAAATAAAGCAAAATAAGTCATAAAAAGAATTATATAACTTATGGCAAAAATATATCATAATCAGGAACTAACCTTGAAAATAGACAATAGGAAAATCACCTCTGAATTAAACAGCGAGCAATTGAAATCATTAGCAAAGATGGTTAACAGTGGAGAAATCAACAACTTTAAAAAAATAGAAATAATCAAAAAGTAATATGACTAAAACCGAGCAAGAATTAAAAGCCCAATTGGAAAATGACCCCTTGGAAAAATTAAGGAAGTTGGAAGAACTTCAAATCGCAACCGAGCAAAAAGCCCAAGCGAGGGAAAAAGAACTCTTATTGGAAGTAGCGAAACAACAAGAAAAAAACAAGGAGCCCGCGAAGCAGCCGCCAAGGCAGCCCGAGCCGCCGAAGTGGCCGAGTTTAAATATGTTAATCAACAAAAGGATCAGATTAAAGGAGTTGCGAGCCTGATGAACCCTGACGAGACCGACCCCGACCGAAAGGCAAGAAGTATTTTTGTCGAACGATTAAGAGCAAGAAGAGAAAACGCTCAAAGGATAGCCGAAGAAAGAAAAATAAAACCCGATGGCAACCTCTACTTTTTATAATTACAATATAAATCTAAATAATAATTAATTCATATGGCAGCGTGAGACACAGCAACTAAAATATTCGACCCAATTTCAAATCAGGCCATCCAAGTCGAATTTATTCAAACGATGGTCGCCGAACACCCCCTATTTGCCAATTATTACGATATTGGCAATGTTAAAATAGATGGTGGAACCGCGAAATTTATAGGAGGCCAACAAGCCGAAGGAAGTCCCCGCAAATGGAAGCGTGGATTTAGCCGAGCCAACTGACCCAACTCTGAAAACATGGAGCAAGCGTTAGAACTCGTTGAATATGGCTTATTTGGTGATATGACCTCCGTGGATTTTGGCCGTTTAGCATTTGAAAACCCTGGCATGTTAGGACAAGTGTTCGATGCCAAAATTGAAGGAGTTTTACAACAATGAAAAAGAGCCGTGGAAAATCATATTCTTTATTTAATTTGTGATAAGCGAAATTATAAGGATAACACCGCATTTATAGAATTAGACAAAGATTACTTTAAAATTGACACCGACCCTCAAAAGGCGTTAGAATGTCAAGCCCGAGCGTTGAAGTTTATATCCGATGTGGAGAATATGTGTTATAATTTCTTGGAATACTCCAAAGATTATAATATTGCTGACAAGGAGGCCGTGACAAAGGCTCTCCAAAACATAACAATTATTTTTCATCACAAAGTTAACACCTTTTTAAATACTTATGCTTATAGTGGTGCGTTCAATGTTTCTTATATTGAGTTAAGAAATAAAGTTGGAAAAGTAATTGTTAAGAAATTGCCCGAGTGGAAAAATGATGATGTGGCTTATAAAACTTATAATGCTGATGGAACCGCGACCGAAGTTAAGGCCGTGGCCGACCAACAAGCATTTAAGTGGAGAGCGTTAATCCATGACAATAACTTTTATAAGATAAGAGATGCCATTAACCATCCTGGAAATGATGATGTTTTTATAGATAGTAAAGATTATAATATTGACCTGACTTCCTATGTTGGTAAGTGGTGATTTTGTTTTGAAGGAGTGATCCGATTTGTTAACGCCGCCGCATTTGTGGAAAAATCATAAGCCCTTTTTTTACTTTAAAAAATAGTGGTTGGTTAGCGTGATATATCTAAATAAACGCCCTAATTCATTTAAAAGTTTGTCATTCGCAAGAGTGACAATGCCATAAATGGAGATTGCTTTGTCATAGCCAACTAATAGAATTCGGAGAATTGGAGGAGTGGAGCAGTGGACGCATTGCTAAAAAAAACCGCTCCCCAACCTTTAAAATGAACTTTAAACAACTTAAAAACTCAAAATGACTAACGCTCTAAATACCTCAGGCATCGACAATATTGACTTAAAACTTTTATCTAGTTTTAGCAAATCAAACTTTAAGGCCGTAATCAAAAAGTCTTTAATGAAAAGTTTGCGTGGTAAAAGTAGACTTAAAGGCAGTGGTGATTTAGTGCCCTTGTGGCCGTATTGCGAAAAAGAAACCAACGAACAAGGATTAATCGCCGTAATTTATAAAGGAGGAGAAATGTTAATGGTGGATGCTGTGAGTTATGCAAATGAAGCCGATGGAACCAAGAAGGCTAATTATTTCGTAAGCAAAAACCCTTATAAAAAATATACAACTTTAACTATCAAAGTCCCCGCCGTAGTTAATGGAAAACAGACAAGCGAAACAGTGGACGAGATTTATTGAGCCGATGTCAAGACCGCCGAGGCTATGGATGGAGACAAGAGCCGATTATTCGCCGTTTTAGAAAATGATGTAGACCTTTCCCCCTCTCTGGTTGGAATTGATGAAGATTTGGCAAAGTTAGAAGTTATTTTAGATGCGATTTGGCATGATATAGTAATCAGCAAGAAGAAAATATATTTTGTTTTTCCCCAAGACCCTGACCCCGAAGACTGAAAAAAAGCAGGCTTATTATGAGATAAAGGAATTATGGGATATATTGCCATGCCCCGCTCCGCCAAACCGAACGCCAAGGAAGGAAAAGCAGGAATAGACCCCAACAATATTCAATTACAAGTTTATCAGCCCGAAAATAAAGGCCGCGATTTATGATCCGATTATAGGAATTGAATGCGTGAAGTTCTCTGAAAGCATGGAATAAGATTTGATGTGCTGGAAGATAAAAAGGAACGAGCCCCTGTGGCCGAAGTTAGCCAATCAACTTCTTATTTTGATGATTTGGAAAATGAAAATAGACAGTGTCGCGAAAACTTTTTTAAATGAGTAATAAAAAATTGAGGAGATAAAGCCCTCGCCGTGGATTATACTTTTACTTATGGCAAGAGAAATTAAAGAACTTAATGCCCTAATTCTTTTCTTTTAATTGTTAAAAATCAATCATATTAACAATTATGACTAATACTTGTATTTGTGGCAATTTTCATTATAGTTTAGACCATTATTTCGCTATACATGGTGATTATCTTGGAAGAACCCCCGAACACAGGATTCAAGTGCCATTTTTACCTAATGGAAAATTATATGATAGCAAAAAAGTTAAAGATAATGAACCTTTTCCTTTAATCAAAAACAAAAAATAAAATGAATACCTCATGAGCAGTTTACTAACATTGAATATCTAGCCCAGGGGGG